AAAAATAAATAACCTAATTACACCGTTTGGATTAAGGGTGATTTCTATAAATAGACATTTGTGAGCTGCAACAAAGACGACAACAACAGAAGTGTTGGCACCCATCTGAATTTGCAAAAAAATGCATGGCTATTTCTAATCCACTGATGCATTATTGCCGGATCCAAACTCTATTTACAACCAAATGGAAACTTTTCTTTTGGCTTCAGGGACTTTGAATCAGGACAGATTCTTTTCACATGACATGTTTATTTTCTCAGGTCTATTTTTATATTGTAAAAGCTCTCGGTATATACAGAACGTGAATGTTGTGTACTTTGCAAGAGTATAAGGGCAGTATTAATTTATAGAGAAGAGCAAGGGACAGATCTGGTAACAGAATGACTTTGCAGGGCTAGAGAGTGTCGTTTCACAGAGGAGACTAATTCATCTGTTTTTATGGATGACTCGATGGGTGCACAACTAAAGTCACTTTCCAGAAATTCCAGTGTCGTCGTTGCAACATATTCGCTGCAGCAGAACAATCTGTCCTGTGGCAACTGAAAGACGAACGAGTATGTATCATGGCATGAATTTTCATAAAGTATTTTAGCAAAGGCATACAGCAGGCAGTCCATCAGTTTTAATCTTGTCCTTTTATAGCGTTACTGTGGAGTCTGTCGTCTGTAGGGCCTGCCCTTCTCTGGAACAGCATTCGCCCAACATCAGATGGGCCCCACTCTTGTTACCTTTCCATAAAGCTGTTAAGATCTGACTATCTGAGCAGGCCGTTGGGATCTAAAGGGCTCTTCTGGCCTGGCCTGCTGGGTGACTTGTAAACACAGTTTATGCTGGCTCCTCAACACTGAGGAATTTTACTGTTAGACTGCTGTGTTTGTTTTAATCTTATTAAAATGTTATAAAATTAAAATGTTCTGGAGGTAATAAGCTAGTCAGTTAGACATGATAGAAGTGGGGAGGAGGAGGAGCAGGAGGAGACCTCCGTGACTCAAGGCGCTTGTCAGAACCTGAATTGTCAGAGAATACCCAGTGTATTGGACAAAGGAGTGTGTGTAAGTTTCTGTGTGTAATTTATTTGCTAGTTTAATATACATGTCCTTCTGTACAGACTGATTGTGGGACTTACAGCAATTTACTAATCTTACCGTAGTGGAAATAAAATAAGGTACTCATAAGACCTAAATAGCTGGATTCACAGATGCACTAAGTTGTAACTTTCTTGTTTTTGGTTTAGTGTGATATATCAGTTCAGTTGTTATGTAACTAGCCATAATGTCGATTCCATACTGAAAATGTTGGACATAAATCAGTTTTGTTCCAGTGTAAGACTGAATGAAACATGAATCTGAAAGGTTTTCAGTGTAATTATTCCATAATCCCTAGAGTTGAGAAACTGGCTCTACAGGTGTTATTTTTTGTATTTTATACTCTCTCTCTCTCTCTCCCCCCATCCATCCATCCATCCATCCATCCATCCATCCATCCATCCATCCATCCTCTATCTAGCTTCACTGCTGTAATAAATATAGTCTAACCAGGATTGCTAAACTGCTTTCGACATATTCCGGAATCGGCTTTAGTTTCAGAGCTTTATTTTAAAACTTTCACTTCTGCCTAGTTCCTCCCTTCCTGAGTAGTAATACCAGTGAGTCATCTCTGGCATTAACTCAACAACTAGCTGAAAGTAAGACATCCTGCCTACTTCCACACCTCACATGCGCACTATTTTTACCAGTAACACAAAGGAAATACCAAGACACCCCAAACAGCCTAAAGTACAAGAAAACATTGAATCATTTTGCGTCACTTGATCAATAAAAGGCAGCACCATTTGAGACAATTGCAACAAGATTCATCTATATAAGTAAATAAAAAAGACAATGATCTTCCTAGCATGAATGCATGAGTTTCTAAAAGCCAGTTGCACTGACCATCAGGAGGCAGTACACGATAGGGTTCATCCTTATTAGGAATCATCAGACATACTATATATAGCCAGTTCTTTTTCTATGAGGTTCAAATCCTGTATCAGGTATTGAATTTTCAGACCTTTGCACTTTACGTGATTATATTTAGGAGCTATCCAGGTTCTGATATTCAGTGGTGTTGCAGGAAAGGATGGGCAGAATCTATCAGAAAGGTTTGTGCGGCCACCTTCCATTAAACTCTCAGATATACAGACGTTACACATGTACATTCAGCTACAATGCAATTGAAAATATCGCACAAGATACACACTGCACAAAAATAGAGAGTTCCTCCCCAAGGTGTGGAAGGTGGACTGTATACACTACTCTGATAAAAGTCATAAATGGATGGAAGTCACTAGATTCCCCAAAATCTAAATTTCAGTAAAATCTTACTGAAAAACAACCAGTTTAATCTTTTTTTTTAAAATGGGTTTAATAGATAATTAGTTCTTGTAAATAAGACCCAAGGTTTTTCAGAAAGGGAAATAGTGGCATTTATATAATGAATATTCTAATATGTATCTCATACTTTAAGGGAAGTTTCAGGAGTCTGGGGACAACTAGCAAATTTTATTTTGGGGAATAGTGGTTCATAAAAGTGTATGACTTTTAGTAAAAAAATAGTCAGTCAGCAAAGGTGTATCCAGAGACCTTCTGAGTTCTGGTTACCCTAGTCTAAAACAGTTCTCCTCCTACAATGTCTACGAAGGGAAGAATGAGATGGAGAAAGAATGTTTGGCCAAACAGTGTCTCACTTCTTGACCGCTGCTTATCAGACATGAACATAGCAAGATAAAGCACTAATTCTCACATCCTCCTTGCCACGGCACATAGATGCCTGTTTCTGAGGGACCACCTTCATCTCCTCTCCTGTAATGGCATGTGGGAATGACCTTGGGAGACTGGGCCCAGAGATGCAGCCGAGGGAACAGTCAGATAAGAGGCAGCATAACCCGCGCTGTATAGTGGGTGGAGCAAGAGGCTCAGAAGGGACCCTCCCTGATTTCTTGGGGATAAAAGAGACGGGGGAGAACTGTATTTTCAGACTTGCAAGATTCTATTAATGTAGCCTTACAATAACGCTCATCTGGTCATGTTTCCTGTCTGGTCCACCTGGTAAGGCTGACATCTCCAGTCTGATGCTGAGGCGGCCTATAAGTAGTCTTTAATTGTTTCAGCCCGGAAGTGGTGTTTTTCTTCTCTTGACACAAAACTTCCCATGTGGACAATCTAAGGTAACTTGGGGACAAGCCTGGGGATGTCAGGGACAGTGGTCTGCTTAGCTCCAATCGGCCCAACAAGTCTGTGACATTATGAGCACATCTATGTTGTTTTCTTGGCAACAGTAGGGAAAAAGTTTGCCTTTACTTTCTTTTGGGATGCTTTTTTGATTCCTAGTGGAAATCTGACCCTGCTCAGCTTTGAGATCACTCAGTCTGCTGCCATCTGCTGTGACCTTTTGGGTAAGTAGATAATTGGATCTTTGAATGCATGTTGCGGCTGCTATGGGAGAAGTCTACAAAATAAGAACATAAGCAATGCCCTGTTGGATTGGATCCCTAGCCCATCTAGTCCAGCAATCTGTTCTCACAGTGACCAACCAACTGTACAAGGAAGCCCACTGATCTTCCAGCAGATGGACTTCAGAGGCAGTCACACTGCTGTCAAGGGTAATAGCCATTGATCCTCATGACTTCTATGAATCAATCGCTTTTTTTGAAGCCAGCCAAACTGGTAGCCAACACCACATCTTATGGTAGTGAATTCCAATGCCTGCTCTGGTTGGTGTAGCCCAGTGTTGTCCAAACTTGGCCACTTTAAGATGAGTGGACTTCAACTCCCAGAATTCCCCAGCCAGAAGTCCACTCATCTTAAAGTGGCCAAGTTTGGACAACACTGGTGTAGCCTGTCCTAACACTCAGTGTAGCCCAGTGTTGTCCAAACACTCACTTTCTTAAAGGAGGAACTCTAGAAGTTCCTCCTTGCCATCTCCTCTAGTTGAGTGTTAGGACAGGCTACACCAGTGTTGTCCAAACTTGGCCACTTTAAGATGAGTGGACTTCAACTCCCAGAATTCCCCAGCCAGAAGTCCACTCATCTTAAAGTGGCCAAGTTTGGACAACACTGGTGTAGCCTGTCCTAACACTCAATTTCTTAAAGGAGGAACTCTAGAAGTTCCTCCTTGCCATCTCCTCTAGCCTTCCAGAATATTCCTCTCCATCCAATGAACTTGCCTATTTTTCAAATAGTGTGCAAACAAAGCAATGTGTTGCAGCTATCCATCATTTTAATTTTCTAAGAATGCCAAAGTATTCCATTTCTTTTTCAATTAAGAATCATTAAGGTAGGGTGGATGAACAGGCAGTCTGGTGAATGCCACGGGAGGGGTTCACATGGATGCTGGTTACTATGGGCACTGTATTGCTTACCCCTAGAAATATATGTCTTGCAAGGTTTGGGTTGCCAGTTAAACATATTGCCAAAATATGCTTTGCTTTTATTTATAGTTATACACACACATTTTATAAATTCAGAATAAACAAATGTAACACGCAGATGGTGCCGTAGGCTGCCTCCAGTGGGGGGCACTCTCAGATAGTGGATGTGTTGATTTATTGCACCTATTCCCACAAGCATTTTTGCATTTTCCATAAACCTTTGCATATTTTGTGTTCGGTAAGAGATTAGATAAGCCAAAGAAGGGGAGTAAAGTGGTAAAATATGAATGAGAGAAAATTGGGATTATCAATGGGAATGTTTCACTAGTGGCAAAGATGATAAATGAGAGGGTTAGATATGCAGAAGTGACAGAATCTGCATGATAGAATACAGCATTTATAGCACAGAATCTCCACTTCTTGGTTTAGAAAGTTTTGTATTTGAACATGCAATTATTTTATTTTAAAAAAACCAAATTTTCAAATTGTCTGACAGAAGAGAACTCATCCTGGGAAGACTTCCTTATCATCTTGGAATAACATATGTAGATAATTCACTCACCCAGTCATTCCGTAAAGAAATTAAATTACCTTTTTCTTCCTTCACATATTTTATTTACGAATACACCGCATAGAGATGAAAAGAGATACAGATGCATTACTCTGGTTTGGGTTGCAGCTTGTTCTTCTCTGGCTCAAAGAAATATTTTTCAAGAGCGCTGGCCAGCTCATCCAGTTCTTTCTTCAGCTTTTCAAAATCACTAACATAAGCCCAAAATGAGACAAGGTGTATTAGGATTTCAAGCATTTAAGCTTCACTTTATACAGACTGTCAAATGCAGAGGTTTTAATTCCTCATAAGGAATGGCAGCAGTTAGCAGTTAGGACTAGGATCAAAAACCTATCAGGTGAATCTCTTAACTACAGTCTAGTTCAGTGTTTCTCAACCTTGGCAACTTTAAGATGAGTGGACTTCAACTCCCAGAATT